AGCAGGCTTGGACATGCCAAACCCTTTGCGTAGCTTTTTTTTTTTTTTTTTTTTTTTTTTTTTTTTTTTTTTTTTTTTGGTGGCCTCAAAGGCATAGTTGTTATAGATAGTAAATACTACTCTAAGAAGCCTTCTAAGTACAGAGAGTTTCTATTAGTATTCTTGAGGATCTTAGGGCCTTTCTAAATAGGGTGAGTTTAGTACAAGATTTATCTAAATATTCAAACAACCTCCTTGCTGGTTGAGTCTTTCCCTCTTGCTCCACCCAATCTTGATGTGATTGACGCGATTTTGGTGCCACGGTGGTTGTTTGAATAACGATGCGTGGAACCCGTGCTAGTTTTGATAGAGAGTGATCCGCTCAGTGGGATTTACGTTACATATGATTTGTGCACTATGTCCGGAAGCCGCTATATAGCGAAATGTGGGGTTGTTGAGGTTTTGGTGGCGATCCGATCCGGGAATATCACTAATCATTGATTCTTTATAATACGTTCGCCTGCTGTTCCATACACACAGCTAGCGACCAGGAATGTGATTTGAAATTGAGCTATGGGGGTCAATCGCCTGGTAATCAGCCCTTGCTGCCGTTGGCCTGCGGTTCATCCGACCTTAAAAAAAAGTCAGGTTTTGTCAAGTTATTTTGACGCTTTTCCCTTAATTCTTCCCCAATATTTTCACACAATCTAGCACTTCGCATGAGTTACTCATCTGTTCAGTGCTTCCTGTATCCCTTCTCCTACCAATTCTACCTGAGCTCATAATACTGCTAAATTAAGATGAAAGCGGTTATCACACAACGATCCTTGCCGAAACGTCTACTGAGTCTCGCTCTCGGTAGTCCACTGGGGCAGGGCGCACAAGTCAACGATGTCCCAATTCCAAGCATCACTGATGATGAGGTCTTGGTCAAGGTGCGTGCAGTCGCGCTGAATCCGATCGACTTCAAAGACATCGATTTTCTCTCCCCACGTAATTCGGCGATTGGCTGTGACTATGCAGGCGAGGTGGCTGAGGTCGGCAAGAACTCAGGACAACGTTGGAAGGTTGGAGACAGAATCGCTGGCTTTGTTCACGGGGGTTTGTATCCCGACGTTGGCTCGTTCGCCGAGTACCTCAAGGTCAATGGAGACTTGGCCTGGAAGGTGCCTGACGAAATCACTCTGGGCGAAGCGACCACCTACGGAATTCCCGCAGCTACAGCAATGCTCAGTCTCTCGTACCTCGATATTCCCTGGGTGGATATTGAGAACGGACGCAGCGCTCAACAAGGTGACCAACCGACCATTCTCATCTATTCAGGGGGCTCGAACGTTGGTCTCTTCGCTATTCAATTAGCCAAGAGAGCAGGATACACGGTTGTGGCAACGTCTTCGCCACGTTCCTTCGACCTCGCAAAGCGCTATGGCGCCGATGCAGTATACGACTACCGTTCCTCTGCATCCATTGACGAAATCAAGAAAGCCCATCCGAATATCACAAAAGCTCTCGACTGCTTCTCCGAAGGCTCCTCTGCCGCTTTCTGTGCCGACGTGTTGCGAGAGGGCAAAGTGGTCACGCTTCTCGATCAAGGAAAGGCAAAGAAGGCAAACGTGAGCTATACTTTCCTCATGGTCTACACTGCATTTGGTCGGAAGTTCCAGCTGTTAGCGCCCCTCGGCCCCGTGTTCCCAGTGAAGCCAGCAGACCGCGAGGTCATCAGCAATTTTTACGGTAACTTTTCGACCTTGTTAAGCCTTGGCGTTGTGAGACCTCCATCCATCACAACCATCAAGGGCGGATTCAATGAAATCTTTGACGGTCTAGAGACACTTCGCCAGGGGGGCGGTCGAGGCACGAAGCTTGTCGTCGAGTTCAAGTGATTGACGTTCTGTACTTCTCACCCTGTCTCTATACATCGTGTTTTCCTGGACCTGGGGTTTCTGGGGTACCACTAGTTCTTATTATTCAATTCCAGTTACGTAAAGCTAAACTAGCTCTGCGCGGTGGAATATCCATTGTTCTGAATTATTCATCGTCAAGGTAATGCCCCAAGGCCTTAGGTCGGGGCGAAGTGTTGGGTAGGCCTTGACCTACTTAGGTTATTACCATATGAAATTTTACGCAGATAATGAGTTCTACTTAGATTGAACCTCTTGGTTCTCCATGCTTCTAATTCTATTTAATATGATACTATTTCAGCAAAATGTCCCTTACATTCGGCTTGCGGGGCATAGTTAACCCTTGGCGCTGCTTCGCCACCTACGCTTGGACAGAGTCTCATGGATCCATTCTTATCTTTGGAGGCTATACTATGACAGCAATACGCTCAGAATTTCTTCCTCTGAAAAGCCACGCCTTAATTCTCGTGGCAATATCAGCTAGAGTTCCACTTTGCTTGATATACTGAACCCAACACCCACATCACAAGACCGCAATCATAAAGTCATACCATCCTCTGCTGACGAAAAGATGGCATCTGGTTTCCCTCTTACTTCAGGTCCAACATCAAGCCTTTATCCTGTTTTCACAGTTGGTGCTACCGCATCATCGAGCTTTACTAGAATCGCGATATCTCACGAAAGCGGCAGAAAGACTATCCAAGTCCTAATGGGCCCATCACACTCTATGCTTGGACGAAGCCCTATTGCGAAGGCGAGCGGGCGCAGACCCAGATTAATTTGGTAACATTTATACAAAATAACTCAAATTTCTATCTATCTCCTCGTCCGCTGGAGGGTCAAGAACAACTTGACATTTCTCTCGCAACCAACCTTAGTTCTTGGAACTTTCCGTGTAGTAGATAGACCCGCTAGTTAATTAATATAACTATATTGTGCAGACCCTCGCTTCCCCAATCCAACCTCCAGCCCTTGAACCTTCCAGGGAGTGTCGGCGTGCAAATAAGTTGTCGCCGGGATTTTTGTACGGCATCTTCCTCATATGAATATCTTTGCTCTAACCTTCGCATTGCGCCGTATCTCGAGGGCATCCCTTGTTGAGGCCAAGATGCTTTCCGACGTCGGGGCAATTAATGAGCACTGGGCTGATTGATAATCTAAATGTCCTGCACTTCTCGGACGCGATCACTAATCAAGAAATCTATGCATAAGCAAGCCGAGGTGGCACAAACCCCCACCCAGGCGGGTCCCCGACCAAATCGATATCGCCATTTTTGTTTAGAGTTTTGATATTCGATATCCAGGCACACGACAAAATTGATGCTACCGTCGGCACACAAAATATAATCGTCGGCTAAATAATATCCCTTATGGCCTGGCGTTTTTGAGAGTAGGCAATTTCAATGACGACGCCTGGATATCTTCCATCTTCACGCGAGATAATCGATCTAATGGAGATCTGTGCAGCAGCCGGCTGGAGCGAATACCACCTAATCCAACTCTCACAGGTGGAAAAATTTAAGAATCTCTAGTGAATGGCTAGAAAACTAGCTACTGGGGGTTTGGTCCATCGAGGATCATCACTGGAATGGATAGACGAGACAGGTTCCGGTTTTCCAAAGGCCATGCTTCTACCACCATTGAAGAATCCAGTCATCTTCTCTCATGATCTATTCTGCCTCAGCTATCTTGGCCGGTTTCTCAGCGCTTGCAAGCTGCCTTATAGTTCCCCAGCTTCACCTGACCATCCAGGCTCCGCCCAAGCATTTCAATCTGCTGTCGAGCATTCGTCAATTCTTTCTGCTGCATAGAATGGTATAGCCATCTCCTGGCCCTGTGGGCTCTTTGGGCAAATTGATGGAACCGCCTGTGCTGGCCGATTGTGGTGTTCAAATGAGCTTCCGCATTCTGGGTTGAGCGCTCTCGCAACAGGTCTCAATGTGATGTTGGCCATATATATACAGCAGGTCTATAAACAAGCAGGGTATAGCAAATCAATCCTCAAACGCCAGGTCCATAGAGTATAGCCCATTCAAAATAATCTATAGCTTCGCCTTTTCCACCCACTCCCGCTCCAGGAGTTTCTCTCCCTCCAACCGCCACTGCTTACCCTTCTCCAAAACTGCATCCACCTCTTCATCCGTCAAAGGAACAGCGGTTTCGAGCGGAATCTCACGAACCGACTGCAACTTGTATCCAATAAAGGTAATCTTCGCCGGAGTAGGAGTATCGGCAGTAATTTTGCCAGCCATGACATCACGACAGAACTGCGCCGTGTCGTCCAAGAAGCGACGAGACGAAGGCGTGCCCAAGAAGACCTGTCCAAAAACATGCGGCATACCTTCAAATTGCTCGACAATCACAGGGACGCCAACCCGGTGCATTTTGCGGGCAACAACAAGTCCCTCATCCGTAAGACCTTCCTCGCCCATGGAGATGAACACCGGCGGTGCGCCTTTCCAAATCTCATCGCGGCCGGCCACCGGGCTGACGAGTGGGTGCAAAAGGGCGCTGGCGTTCGTGTAGAGGTCCACACGAGGTGGCTTGACAGGCCAGACGTCGTCTTCAGGCACAGCAAGTGGGCGGTAGGCTGTTTCAGGATCCTGGGTGGGAGGACTCAGGAAGTCGTAGACTGAGTTGTGGTGGACGGATGGCATAGAGCGAGTGATGTCGCACCAGGGGGAGCTGATAGCTAGGCCGGCGGGAAGTTCGATAGGGATATCGCGTCCATGAAAGCGGACGGTAGGACAGACGCGACGGAGTGTGAGGAGCGTTTGGAGCAAAACGAGACAAAGGTTTCCTCCGGCTGAATCACCGGAGACGACGATCTTGTTCGGCGCGACGGGCTCGTGGAGAGAGCCCGGAGGCGGGGAGACGAGCGCAAGGTATGCAGTAAGGGCATCAACGAGAGCAGCAGGGAACGGATTCTGAGGCGCAAGACGGTAGCGCACCGATAGAACACGGGCACTGGTTCGTTTCGACAGCTGAGCGACGAGCGGACGATGGGTGCACGGGTCGCAAAGGCTTCACATCCAAAACGTCAGTATCAAGACAAACCTCCCAGACAGCATTGAGGGCAACTTACAAATACGCTCCTCCATGGAGATACAAAATCACCATATCCTCCTTCGCCTCCTTCTTCAGCTCCTCATACTTGGCTTCTTCCGAGATATCCGGCTGCGGCGCATTCTTGTGCACGCCGCTCCGATGCCCCGTCCACTCTGCCTCAAGCGGGATTACTCCAGGGATATTATAAGTTTCGTCGCCCTCCTTCAGGTCTTCAATGGCTTTAATAACCGCATCCTGGACATCCTCTTCTGGCTTGGGAAATGTCACCTTGGACACCCACATGGGACCCTTAATGCCTGGGTCGCGCATGCTATCTCTTTGCTGCTTGCCGACGGGCGAGCTGAAAACGAGAAATGAGCGAATGATAGCAACAGTCAACTCGGTGCGCAGGTCTTGTTTCCCCGTAACTGGCGACATACGAATGGCATGTAGGAGAATGGTTTTGAAAATGAGGGGAACTCGCACGAGGATTGCCGCCAACAGGCCGAGGGGGTTGTCTAGTTTGCTCATGATCGCAGACTGTAACCTGCGAAAGGGAGAACGCAGAATAATCAAAGAGTGAAGACCGACTCGCCAATAATAATAAAAAAAAAAAAAGCAAATAACAGAAAGACCGATCCCCGACGGAAAAGAGAAAGTCGAACGAGAAAAGGTTGTAGATGTGGAAAAGAAAGAAAAAGATAAGGGGGCAAAAGTGGCATAAATTGAAGAAAGCCGAAAAGGGCAGCGAACCTCCGACAGACCCAGAAAAGCCTCGGCTCAACAAAGTGGAGGGAGACGATGGGTCCGCATGACGCAGGCACAGCACAAGCACCAACGGTTCTGTTGCCGTTGAGAATAATGAAGGAAATACACTGTTTCTGTTTACTAGATAGTTTAACTCGAGGCTATACTGTTCTTCTTCCGGACCATGGAATGCGGAAGTAGAAAATAACCTTCAAAACCCCAGATTCCGTTCGGGTGGCGCTACTACTAAACACTAAGCCTGCCTGACGAATCTAATCTCATCGGCGAAAAACAACACCCCACTCCTTGCTTATGGATCGTTCATTCCAATGCATTAACTAAAACTATAATAGTACAGATTTATTGATCCCCATCTGGATCATTTCATGCAGGTCGTCAAGCGTATGTTTAGTGTCTCCATCCGGGGCCTTGTCTAAAACCGTCCAGCAGTTTCCTTGGCCTTGCCCCTGACCTCTCCGGCGGCTTCCTGTGCTTTGCCCTTGACCTCTCCAGCAGCTTCCTGTGCCTTGCCCTTAGCAGTACCGAGTGTCTCTTCAGCCTTGCCCTTGCCCTTGCCGGTCACTTGGGATGCTTCACCAGACAGTTCGTCGGTCTTGGCCTTGGCCTCAGAGGCGGTGCTGCTAACGGTGCCCTTGACCTTCTCGGCGGCGTTTTCTGCACATCATGATGAGCGGGAATCCTGAACAATGGGTCTAGTAGTCTACATACCTCCCACTTCAATGCCCTTCACAGCGGCGTCCGAAACCTTGCGGTCTGCCTTCTTCAGAGTCTCCTTGGTGGCATCGATGGGACCCTTGTCTCGACGGGCAGTGGCGGAGATCGAGCGGGTAGCTCCGACAGAGAGAGCGGGAGTAGTGGTAGGTCGGAGAGACAGCGAAGCTGAGCGAGCAGCGGGAGCAATGCGGGCGAGGAAAGACATGGTGGATTGTAAGGTATTCAAGTTGATGGGATTGAGGGTCGGATGATGTAGAGGTCAGAAGTAGATTAGACTGTAGTGGTCAAATAGACTGATGATGTGGTAACCAATGTTCGAATTGCCAAAAGGCTACCTCCATGATGCTGGCATCGAGAACCTTTATAGCTGGTTGAACTGCTCAAAGACGTCATCACCAAAGGCGACCTGGTTATTATGTATCTCTTACGTCGATGGGCTGTCACTGCAAGTCCCGATTAGGATTAGCGTTGATGGTGACCAAGGCGCGCTTTGGTTCCCGCCCGATCCACCACCACAAACCCAGTCCGGATACCGTCGCGATCGTCCTCTAGTGCTTCCTTCCCCTGGTCGGTGACCCGCTGGCTGTTGCGCTCACAGATCTCAACGCGGCGCAACAGCCAGCGGGTACTATCTCATGCAAGAGCATGCTGATGGACTGGTTAGTTTTCTCACAAATCACAAAAAATAATAAGAAAAAAAAATCAACGAAAGGCACAGAGAGAGATTCAGATGTTCAGTCGCGTTATCCGATTAACACTAACAAACGCCAATGCAATGCTCCCTTCTGTACAGTGATATCCTTCTTCTACCAACACCTCTGAATGCTATCACTTATCTTCCTATCTCCTGCTCCAGAAATGCATGGCCATAAAACTCGAACACAAAATCAGAAACTCCAGGTGCTTGTGCTGTCTCCTAATTAATCCGTCACATATTTATCATCACGGTTCGTCACTTTCATATCTTTATTTTTATTTTTTGCGTTTTTCTTTCTTTAACTTTCCTTTGCCGTCTCTTTACCAACATCTGTATGATTGTATGTGATTCCGATAGTTTACTCACAGATATCAGTTTTCGTCTCATTGATCATTGACTCATGCTAAATCCGTCAAAGTCAGGGCGAGGGGGTGAGCTGCCGCTCCGCGCTCGCAGTCCGTGAGGATCTGTCACTGGAATTGCCATCTCATGCGGGATCAATGGCCCGGACAAGTTCGGGTGGTACATGGGATACCCTGGAATTGCTGATGGCAGATGTGCGGGATAATGAACACGCCCACCCAGCCGCTGCCGGGCGTCACGCACATCCACACGATGGGCCCCGAAATGCAGTGTCGAAGCGGGCTCTGTCGACCATAAAGGGTCCATGGCAGCGACGTGGCCATCCAGTGTGTTGATGGGTCGGATTTGTGGCTGTGCAGCGTAAGCTACCTCCGGCTGACGAGAACTGACCGCTGGTGGTGGTTGCCCCTGTTGCGGTATGTCCGCGACCCAGCTTCCTGCCCCGGATACCGTGTGCGGAGGCGGCACAACATGTGGAACACCACTGGCTATGACAGACTGCGCGGGCGTTGTAGCTGGGAGTGGAGAGAAGCGCGGCGGATACCGAACCGGCTCGGTTGACCAGGACTGATGTGACTGTGCGGATTGGTTTCGCGTCATCGGCTCCGGAGCGGGTTCTGAGGAATACCCAACAAGCGGTTCAGTAGCCAGAGAGCTCGGGGGTGAGATACCTGGCATGAATGCAGATGGGTGGGCGACTGGCCTCGCTGGACTCGGTGATGGTCCCATGGAGCTTGGTTGGGCCACACCCACACGTCGTGGTACCGTAACCTCGATGTTCCCTTCAAATGGCAGTGGAGGGGGCGGAGGGATATATGTCAGAATAGACGGTGTACTGGCAGACATGTCCCCTGCCGGAGGTGCTATTGGTCGTACAGTGGACAAGTGACGAGTCCGGTACTGAGACTCCTGCGCTATTCCCAGATCCATGGCATTGAGTCGATGTTGCAAGTAACCTTGATCAGGCTCACTGTAGGTCGACTGGGTCATACGATCAGGCTTGAACTCCGCTGAAAGTGGCGATGGATGTGCATTGCTAGAACGGCTCTGCAGCGACTCGCCAGATGATTTGTTCTGCAGTGACAGAAGCGCCGGTCTACTATTGCCTCCCGGTGTCGAGGATGATCGTTTCTTTGAGTTCAATTCTCCATCCTGAGTATGCCTGGCTGCTACTGTAGCATATGTTGGAGCATTCTCTTTGTTCAAAGATGACCGGCCAGTACTTCGCTTCGTGATAGCTGTGATATCCTCGTGAGAGTGGGGAGGACTGGAGTGCTGTACAGCTGTGAGTGCCTCCGAGGCGGATGCAAAAGAGCTTCTCCGACTTTTACCCAGCGTGCTGCTTGAAGCACTTCTCCCTTCGACAGGAAAAATTTTCAAGACTGGAGCTGCCAGCTGGGAGCCCTTGATATT